ATCTTTGATTTGACTTCTCTGGTTTATAGAGCACAATGGCGTCTTGCAATCCATGTAGCTGACCCCACCTAGTGGGATGAAGGCTTGTTGTTGTTGTTGTTGACCTCTCTGGTTTGAGATCATAGGACCAATATTTGATATTTTTCTTTCAGGGTTCACCTTTCTGCAAACTTGTACGTGAAGTACTTGTAGAGTTGGAGCTGCCACATTTGCAAATCACGTAATCTCCTTATCTCCAAACTAGCTGACTGTTAGATCTGATGTCAAAGAAAAAAATTTATTATGGTTGTCTTGAGATATTATCTAAATTCACTTCATATTTTATGCAACTAACATCTTACGTATGAACCCTTTTATTAATAATCGTTACTAGTTGAGTTTTGACCACTATATTGCTGATGCATCTTATGTTGATTTCATTAGTTAAAACCATGCATGGTTGCGGCCATATCATACATACGCTTCCTCTCCAATTAGATAGAGAAGATGCAAATCTTTATTAGTGATTGGGAATTCCATAAACAATTAGTAATGGAGTCTTTCGTGTAGTGTAGGTAAGGTCTATATGCAATCTTGCTTTTCTGTGTAATCAATTTCCTTTTCATTTCATTTCAGCTGTTCTCGAGGTAGCCCGAAACGACAGGTGCTATTAGAAAAAACTGGGCATTTCCAGGTACTTGATCTATTCTGGTAATCTGGTCAAAAAAAAAAAAAAGATCTATTCTGGTAATAAGTTTGTCATGTTCACGAGCACGCTCACAATGTAGATTTGCTAACCTGGAGACATGATCTCATTTTGGTTAGACGATAATATGAATTTGGATGCTTATGGTTGACTGCAGGTACCCTATTTGGATGATCCGAACACTGGGATTGGAATGTATGAGAGTGCAGAGATTATAGAATATCTAAGAGCAACTTATGCTCTTCAATAAATCACGTTTCCAGAGGCTCCTGAATGTGAATTTTTAACTCACTCCCATTATGTCACTCTACCAGTCTGCCTTTGCTTCCTCTTGGGAGGTGTGATTGCTAGTTGTTCAAATTCTTGGATAAGTTAACTTGCATGCAAATATCTAGTCAAGTAGCTAGATCAAGACAAATTGCCAAAATTGAAAGTCTTCATTTTGTTGGCTGACAGTGAGATTACTTAGAGCATATTTGGCTTGTTGAAGGAAAGGGAAAAGCAGAAGCAAAAAAAATTAATACATCTTTTAATAGCTTTTATCTCTTTTTAATACCTCTCGAAAATAACAACACGAACTAACGCCGTTTAGTTTAAGTAGTTCAACGCTCTTTCTAAAAGAGGTTTTGGGTTGAAATTTAACGTATGGAAAAAGGAGGGGAATAAGGAGAGTCTTGCATCAATGCGATTCTGTTTGACTCGATTGAAAAAACAATAACAACATGATTATCATTTTTCGTATCTGAATTATTTTTTAATTATTTGCTTTATTCCATCTTATTTTATGTATGCTTAAACTCCTGAAAGGAAAGGGGAAATTATTTGCAAGGAATAACAACGGGTTAACAATTAAATGCCCGTCAGCATGTTCACGTAGTCAAGAAACAAACTGGGTATTTGATATAAATAATTTGATTCATTTTCATTTTTCAGTAAAATTATTTTTTAACTTTATAATTTAAAAATTCATTGTATACTTTTTACAAAATTAAAAATGTTGATAAAGCTATATAAAATTTTAATTATGTAAATTTAATAGAAATAACTAAATAAGTCAAGCCTTGTAATAAACTGGGTGACCGGAAGATTCCATTAATAAACCTACAGGGGCGGTGTGCCAATAATGCGGACGTTTTTGGGCATCAAAACAGTTTTAAGCATTTTCTAAGGCCGAAGTAGGATGACCTTACTTTTTTTAGTTTTTAAGGCTCAAACACAAACACAAACACATTTTAATTATTTTCCTTCCTTCTCTCTCTCTCTCTCTGTGCGTTTCCATTTCCATGCCCGCTTCACAAATCTTCCCCCTTCTTCATGTGGAATAAAAAAAAAATAAAAACCCCAAATTATTCTGCTTTGTGATCCTTACAATGTGGGAAGTGGGGACTGAAGAATATTATCTCTGGGGCTTCAATGGCGAAGATGAAGTTGACTTCCATTTAATCACATTGTCTCTGAAATTCCGTGGACGTCTAAGATTGCAGAGAAAAAATATGCATCATGAACTCTTCTCAGCTGAATTATCTATATGAGATTTTCATGGTTCAGTTTTTTTCTATTTTTTAATTAGATTTTAGAATTTTTTTTTATCTTACATGAAACAGTATATAAAATAGTACTGCTATTTATCTTATAATTATTAATTTCTAAAGAAATATTTTAACTTTAAAAATAACCGAAAAAAAAAATACCCTTCCTGGTTTTGCTTTTTCTGAGTCAGTGAGTTCTGTATTTAGTGTTATGCTTATACAATGTATTGGTACTATTTGGGAGTCTCAAAGTTTAGTATCTCTTCCCCGACATGTGTCTCCCACGCGACCTCCATCTACTCATTTAGCAGATTGCACAATGTGACATGCGTGCTTTATTGCTTTATACCGACCAGTTCCGTTCCGTTTATGGCAACAATTTGATAGGAGATTATATTGTTTCATGACTTGTAATAATGTCTTGATTGTTAACCCCCACGGTCTTTAACAAGTCAGTTACAAATACTTAACTCCCCAAGCCTGTCATTAAAAAAAAAAAACAAACAAACAGAACTTCGCGTGAGGAAGCCATTTCAAAACCCAAATATATATGACATCCATCTATGTTATCAATACTATAAACGACAACAACGAAAAAAAAAAAAAAAAAAAACAACAACAACAACAACAGCAACACAGCTTCGACATGTTAGATTTGAGCTTTGTTTAGCTTAGTTAACCCCCCTTTTCTCTCTCACGCTAATACAATGGGTCAAACTCTCTCGCTCTCCATTTGCATTTATGCATGTCTTAAATGTAGAAATTCGTTGAAGGGTTTATTTTAATTTTAGATGTAACATTTCAATCTACTCTGTCTTTAATATTTATATTTTTTAAACCATACATATTGAATTGCATACATTCATCAATGAGACTCGTTTTCAATGCAAATGAATAGGTAATAATAATACATATCTTTTTGCAAATAACTAGTTTACCTAATTTTATTAATATATGTAATTTAATAATAATAAAAATTTATAAGGAGTTTATCATTTATATGCAACAGTATATTATTAAAAAATATAATAAACAAATCATAATCTAAAATATAATAAATGTTAGGATGTTTGCTTGATTTTATCTTATAACATGGATAATATCTATACAAACCCTAGAGTTTTATTGTTATTTAGATAATTAATTTTTAAGAAAATATGATTTTTTTACCACAAAAAACAACGAATATAGATGAATTTATAATTCTCAAAATTAAAAAAAAAATTTACTAGTGAGTTAGCCTGTTAACCCACAAAAGATGCGAGTTATGCCAGCCAGTGACCTGCTGCAGGTCAGCTTCCAACCTGCAAATTAGCTTATATTACCAACTCTATTTACTTTCTCCAATTTAAAATACAAGATACTTTTAACTACATTTATAAGAATTAAAAAATTAATTTATATTATTAAACGGGTAAAAAAATAATAAGTAGGCTAACCTTTGCACTGCATAACTTGGATTAGCAAATGAAATGTACTATATATATTTTATAGATTTAAAAAATACAGATCGAGAAGCTTCTGTATATGATATGCGCGCGGTACAGTGGCAGTGCGTGGGGCTCTTTGGATAAGCAGTCGCCTCTATTATTGAGCCTCAATGGTGAGTATTGCTCACCTTTTCAATTCCTTTGGTGGTTTGGTTTCTTTTTAAGTTTTTTTTCCCTTTTTCTAACACTGACTAATTTTATTTGAGTGTGATATTAGATTTTGTATTTGATTAATTTTACAGTTGTGGATAATTAATTTTCTTAGAACCTTTTATGTAAGTTCAAGTCCGAATAAGTACTACCCAAATAAATTCAGCTCACCTAAATTACTAATTGTAGTGTTAAACTTAATTAGTTCATACTTCAAAAAAAAAACAAATTCCTATTAACCATATAAAATGGCCATTTTATTCCTGTGGGCTTCTAATGCCCCTGGGCAACCAAAACCAACACAAATTTCACTATTCTGATTATATTTATAAGGTATTTTTATAAATAAATAAAAGTGATCTTAATCATAATTTGTCAAAAAAAAAAGATGAATTTTTTTTCATTTTCAACAGTTTAACTTGAAAAAAATATTTGTTCAAATAACAAAATACCTTATTGTCTTTCTTTAATTAAAAAAGTTGAAATATTTTTAACAAATAAATTAATATGATAATTTTTCGATGGAGCATGAAGTTTAAAACTTTGATTGCTTGTGGCTCTGAAGGTGCTATTTTTTACATATCATTAATATTTTTTATTTGAAAGAATATTAACCAACCTTTCGACACAAACTTTCAAGTGCTGTTTGGTCAATCTCAATCCCTCGTAGCCTCTTAAAGTGACATCTGAGCATGCGCACTATGCCAATCCCTCTCACCCGAAGTGGCCTGCTTTTAACATCCATCCCAATTTTATTTTTTCAGACGCACAAAGGAATGTGAATCACGGAACATGGATCGTGTGGGAAGCTCCAATAAAATGAAAATTACTATATTAGTTTTGTTTCGACGTGCAATGTTTTCTGCTTTTTAAGATTGATTTTTTTTTTCAAGACATACACATGATTTACTTTACACACACGCACGCACGCACGAAGATGAGTTTGCTGGATTATATTTATGCTTATAATTGAGATGGAACCAAAATTGATTATGAGTCATGATCACTCACCAGTGCGTTTTCATATGAAAGCAATAGATCTTTGATCTTTCGCGCACAAATTAAATGGAGCCTATAAAACTATTACGCGCCGGAAGCAGCAATGAACAAGAGAAAAATTAAAATCAAGAACTCCAATTTCAATAAAATTTTTGGCGAAAATATTTTCAAGATCATGAATACGACTTTCCATGAGCACAGCCTCTTTTAAAAAAAAAAATATTTGCGAAAATGTAATTCTATAAATAAATCCTGTAAAGCTGCTCCTATCGCACCATCGAATCGTTGCAACAAGCAGCGCTCAAATCAGCAGTGTCTAACAAATTTACTGTTGCAACAGAAATACTGGAGAAAACAAGAGCATCTTCGTCCATAAAAGCTAATCAAAAGCACAAACACGACATAGCCATCCACTCCAACCCATCCAAAATGTCCATGACAATTTTCTTCCTAATCCTTTCCTGTGCATTGCTCGCACTTTGTACTTCCGCAGGTAAAAATCCAAATATTTCTTCCCATCGAATTTCACTTATATTGTTTCTTTCCAATGGCTGGCCTCTTTTTCCAGCAGAGACAAGTTTTCTTCGCTTATATCAAGAGTTGTTTTAGTGACTTATCTTCAACAGTTTGCGCTAGGAATTTATAATTGTTCTCAATTATCAGTCTATACAAATGATTTGGATGCATTAGTTTGCCACCAGCATAGCATTCTTAACATTTTACAAGTTGAAACAGAGTTCCCCGCCCCCTCTGAAGAGCCGTGAGTTTGGTGTTCTGTTTAGAGGTCTGGTTTTTGTTATGGTTTAAATTCAAATGATGCAGAGTATATCAAATTCTTTGTGTTGGCATGTGTTCATTTTTTGTTTCATAATCGGAAATTTTTATGGTGCACCAGATCCGGTTAATTTTGGCTATTATGGTGCAAATGGTCCTAATAAATGGGGCAGCTTAAGTCCAAGTTTCTCAGCCTGCTCCAAAGGAAAAGCTCAGTCCCCTGTGGACCTTAGGAATGAGAATATTGTGTACAACAAGCAATTGAAGCCCTTAGAACGACACTACCATTCTGCTAACGCCTCACTTGTTAACAACGGCTTCAACATTGGGGTCTGCTCCTGAACTAACACTTTATTCTTGATTCAACCAGCATGCCCCGAATGCATTATCAAGCACTGATGAAGTAATTATATCATGCATGTATAGATTCATTTTGATATGAAAGTGGGAGATTTGAGAATAGATGGACAGAAGTTTTACCTGAAACAAATGCACTGGCATTCTCCTTCGGAGCACCGAGTTAATGGGAAGAAGTAAGTTCCTTCTCTTCTTTCCCCTTTCATTATGGTTCAGGAAGAAGGTTCAAACCATTTTTAATTGATTGTGAGGTTAAATATATATACACACACAAATATTGTGATACAGAATGGACGCGGAACTGCATCTAGTGCACCAGAACGAAGAAGGAAGTTTTGCAGTTGTGGGGGTGCTGTACAAATTGGGTGATTCAGATCCTGTCATCTCCAAGGTGCCATGGCTTGCATCAACTTGAAAATGTAAATAATTTCCATTTCAATTTGAGGTCCCGATCAAGTATAAAGGAGTGATATCGATCTGTGCAGCTGGAGAAGAAGCTAGTTGAGCTGGCGAAGGAGAGTTCAGCTGGCTACGATGGGGCCCATATTGATCTGGGAACCTTTGATGTGAGGCATATGAAGAGAAGAAGCCGAACATATTACAGATATGTGGGCTCTTTGACCACTCCTCCATGCAAAGAGAATGTGACCTGGAGCATTCTGGGCAAGGTAAGGTCAATCTCCACTGAACAGATCCATCTTCTCAAGGCACCTTTGAGCCCTCAGTTCAAGAATAATGCACGGCCTGTCCAGCCCCTTGACGGCCGCAAAATTCATAAGTACTCAGCTCAAGGTTAACTCATCTTTTGCTTCCCCTGTTAAACAGCAGAGTGTGTTGGCTTCAATCGTTTAGTCGTTTTATGAACATTGGACTGTTGTGGAATAGGCTGTGATGTTCAGAGGAGAGGGATCCCTCCCTTCCATTCTCTCTCGCTATTTCTAGCTCTCTTTTATTTCGAGGAATAAAAGACATTGTTCATCCATAAAATCACTGTTTTTCTTCTTTTTTTTAAAAAAAAAAATTACTGTTTTTCTAATACACATTTTTCATTTTATTTCATTTTGCATGCTCAAGGAAACTTGGAGTTGGGTGTTGATTTTCTTTAGCACAAGTTTGAATTCTGACTACTTGTATTTGGGGTGAGAAGATATATCATATCTTTTTTGGTTGGCGGCCAGTAAGAAGATATGTCATATCACTATTCACGCTCGCAATCGGAATTTTAGGCTTTTTCTGAAAGTTGTCAAATGAGTTTTATCATGATGAATTATGTCTCCAACCTTGTCTATTTTGATGTTACCTAAATGCTGCGGACATTTTAAAATTTTATATTCAACTAAATAGAAAACAAATAGTATCTTGATGTAGTATATTTTTTGGGTTGCATTGAGAATTGAAAGATATTAAAATTATATATGTCAGACACTGATATTTCAAATTGTCTAACGTATGCGTATTGATATTATATTTGATATCAATATTCACCTATATTTTTTCAATACATATTCACAAAGTATTGAAATGATATATTTAAATTTTAAAAAATTTAAATTTTTAATATGTATTCAATATTTTTAAATTTCTTATCAATATTTGAAAAAAAAAATTTAAAAAAATTAATTTATTAAAATTTGTAATATTAAATTTTTTATTACTAATATCATTTTTTGATTTGCTTTCAAAGTCAAAGATTAAATTTTTTTTAAAAAAAATAAGTTTTGGATACAATAAAAGAATAAATATTACATTTTTTAATTATAAAAATGTGGAAACGTAATATTATAATGGTTGAGAAGAAAAAAATATTAATACTTTACCTATTAGTAAAGACTAAATGATAAGCAATTAGGTATAGATAAAATAAAAATACAATTAATGATTATATTTTACTTCATATTATTATAAAGGATTATATATGTATGTTAATTTGAATATTTTTTAAATTAAAATTATATTTTTAATATTTTTTATAAATATATATACAACTATCGAAAATAAATCATATCTTATATTTTTCAAAATTAAAATATTGATGTACGCATGCTGTATTTGATACATGTATCAATATCTTCACAACCTAGATGAATTATGCACCCCTTAATTGTGACATGAAAACGAGTAGGTGCAACAAAATAAAGAGGAGAAAGGAGAATAGCATTGACAAACACAGCCCAATCAGCACCATTTGAACTCGAGACGTAACCTACGATGGAAATTACGCCGAGATGCCTTTTTTGACCTTCACAGTTGTCTCAGGACTTACAGAAGAAGATGGGTCCAAGCTAAGCATGATGAGATTGTGAGTTAAAAAACAAAACAAAACAAATTACAGATTTATTTTACTTTTCAGATCTTTATTAAAAAAATCAATTACCAGACATGAATTCGGTATCTATCGAAGATGATGAGTACTACATCATGCATACCCATTGTTTCTCACTCTTTTATATTGTATTTCCATGGTTTTAGTTTTATATCTTAATTAAATTATTTTTTGATAAGTTGACAATAAAATTATTTAATTTTATATGTCAATTCTTCGAAAGTAAAAAAAAAATATTACATTTTAAATAAAAACAGAACTCAGTATATTTAAATTTAACTTAAACAATTTACACAACAATTTTTATCGCGCAAATCAAATGTCACTTGGTTGATTTCTCACTGATGTGCGTCTGGCGAGACAGTCATTTTTTTCGTTAAAAAAAATATAATAATTTCCTTTCTGTTTTACTTAAATCACATATATTTTTCTTCAATTTTCAAAAAATATATTTTAATTCAATTATTAACAATGTTATGATTCTCTAATTCTATTTATCAGTCACTCTCAGTATATTTTACTGAAATTAAAAAAAAAAATTTTATTAACTTTATCTTAAATTTTAACAAATTTTTACCTTTACCGTTTTTAAATTTCATTACAAATATTTTTATTTAAAATATTTAATAATGACCAAAATGTAAAGAGAATCATTAAGAGTTAATAAGTGCCTTATAAATATAATTAAATTTTTTTCCTCTTTTCCCTATGAATAAAATCAAAGGAGAATTTTTTTAAAAATTTTAAAATATTTAATTTTTTATTTTTTTATTCTCTCTCCCAATTTTAAAAATTTAAATAATTACATAAATATTTAGATAAATAAATTTAAATTGCATGTTAAATTAATAAAATTAAGAAATAAATAAAAATTATATTGAGTAATTTATTATATTAAATCCTATTATTTCATTAAGTTTTCTTAACTGTGCGTTTAAAATATTATTTTAGCCAATTTATGTATTGAAATTTTAGAAAATGTTGTTAAATAAATATATTTATAAAACCAAACAAAAAAAACATAAATAAAAAAGTAAATATATGCATTAAATTTTTTGATAATTTAAATAATTTTTAGATAACATTTATATTTTAAATGTAGGTATATTGGTTTAATAACTTAACAGTCAACTAATAATTAGATAAATTAAAAATAAAATTTTAAAAATAAAAAGGATGTTTGTTTTGTAACTATTTAATATATTAGAAGAGGTTCAAGCATGTTTCAAAAAGATATCTATAATAAAACTTTTTTTAAAAAAATAAAATTAAAAGTTTTCTTATTGCAAAAGACTAAAGCTTAAGATTCTCCTCAACTTTTCATGTCATCAGACATCAAACGTTCATAAATTCTAAATCAGCTATTGCTAGTTAAATTTATCACTACATTCCCACATCTAAACTCTCAATGACAAGAGTTTAATGATATAGAGATGTAAAAGGATGATCCATAATTCAAAAGAAAATCAAAAAAACTTTCACTCTTCCCTTTTATAATCACTGACGAGAACGTAATCGTTCCCGCTCTGAGACTGAAATCATTGGCCATCAATACTTGCGATTTTTCCTCCCCAAAAATTGTACGCCCAGTCCCAGATCCATTAGGAAAAGTAAAATTTACAACTGCTCATTTATTAGAAAACATCACTCCTACTCTTGGTGAAGGGAAAAAAGCACTCACGATTCACGAATCTATTTACAAATTGTTAGTAGAGACTAGAGAGAAAAAGGAAACGCTAAAAACCAAATCACAGTAAAAGCAGAAGTATTCGGGAACAGTCGAGACCGTTATTCGACGTGTCACGTCATCTGTGCCCGGCACAAGCATCGGCGATTCCGAGCACGCAAGCTCGACGCCGTCGCCGAACCGCTTGAAGCCTATTGCCGCACGTGGATCTCAGGCTCACCTACCCCCCACGCGCCGGACCGTCTCCCAGATGCGAACCGCTTCATACCACCTAAACCAGGAGGTTCACTCTCCGTCACGCTGTTTCTCGGGGTCGGCTCGGCGAAAGATGCGTCGATATCGCTAGCAGTGCTATTCCGCGGCAGCGTGGTCCGGTTCTTGCTTGAAGGAGAATCTTCTGGCGGAAGATCGGCTTTCTGGACCTTGTTTTCTTGGCGGCGGGGGCGGAAAATAGCTCTAAAGCTTTCAAAGAACCCTGGTTTCCGGCCTCTGCTTTTGCTTCGCATCAATTTTTCTTTAGCGGTGCCCGACTCAGAGGACCTTTGGCGAATTCTCAACCTACGATTTCGATCCCTCCTTGATCTCACTCTCCCCATACATGAAACCTTTGGCGATGATGGTTCGATCACTGAGGATTCCGATTTTCCCACTGACGCACTCCGTTTGGGGAACAATCTGGTGTTCCCCGGCTTGTGGTTTCGACGATTCTTGGCATCCCCAAAGGAAGGTTTCTGAGGCTTTGGCAGGCCAATAATGGAGGCCTTGGACTTCAAAGAAACCCGCTGAGACCTGGATTTCAAACTGGGGTTCAAATTGGTGGAATTGGAGCTGTTACCCTTGGTGGATTCTTTTCGCTCGTAGACAGCATTACGGTCCCACCAGTCCAATTCTTCGTCCCTGGAGAGCCAGAAGGATTCAGGCGGGGAATCAGGGTTGTTCTTCGGCAGATGCGCTTCCTCTACCTGGTGGCTGTGACCGTCAGCAAGAGTCTCGCAGGCAATTTTGCGATCACCGGACCCGCCGCCGGCACACGCAGAAACCAATGTTTCGACTTGTGGCATTGCAGTTGGTGGACGCAAAAACGGAAGGCCGAGGCCTGCAAGGAAGAAAGTATGAAAGGGGAGAAACGGAGAAAGACAATGGTTTTTGTAGAAGTGGGTAGGAATGGAAGAGCTAAAGAGCACTTGAAAAGTAGGCGGGCGCGAGAGAGCGAGAGAGAGAGAGAATTTAATACATTCATTATTCAGGAGGGAGCGGGAGGGGCGTGTTCAACTTGTTGACTGGTGCTCAGTCTCACCTCACGCTGGTTTTGTTTTCTATGAATGCGAGTAGGCCACTCCCACTTTTCCAGAGAGAGAGAGAGAGAGAGAGAGTAGACTATCTTTGAGGCCCGTCAAAAGAATACGAAAACCATGAAAAAAACGCAGCGTTTTAGAGGGCGTTTTTCCCAACTTGAAGGTTTTTTCGTTTTCCTCCATGGCTGTTTTTTATTTTGACAGCTTCTCTAAGGCTGGTCTCTTCCTAATTAGGTTCTCATCATGCACAGTGTGCCCTTGCTTTCTGATTAACAACCTGCATTTTATATTGGTCAGGCAGCTAGGCTACATAAATACCATAGCTGCTGACCTAAAAGTATGCATATGATGGAAGTTCATTCGTTACGTTATTCCATCATATATAAAATGGTTGTTGAGTTGAGGCTTACATTACATGTATTAGTTTCTTGCCTTTAGTAGGTCGACGTGAGTGCAATAGCTGTTGCAAGATAAAATATTAAACACTCCAATACTGTCTGATACATACTGCTCAAATCATTAAAAGAACTCTGTATGTCAAGATATTATGCATTAATTAATCGCGTTACTTATGTAGCTTGAATTTGTTAACTTTTCCCTCTTCCTAGAATAAGTCCCAATTTCATCAATGATGACATTCATTTAAAAAAAAAAAAAAGAATGTGAGGCGAAGACTATATACGTAGTCTTTGAAAAGTCATTATATGTTCTGGGATGATCTTTTTGTTCTTTTTGACAAGTTGTATTCAGCATCCCTTATAAAACAAGAAGCGAGGTCAGATTATTATTATTATTATTATATCATGCTGCAGAGTAATGAAAAGGAATTTATACGAATCTGATTATATTACAGCCGGCTTTTCGAGCCGACCAATATTGCAATATAAGAAAAAGAATGCTCACGGCTCCTCGACAATAATGTATGCCTCATATTCTCATAATTAATATCTCCGGTTTTATGCTTTCCCCCAATGTTTTAGGTAATTTTGTGAACAAACATTAATGATACACTGACTCAGTTATTCAATGAGGAATTAAATTAAAAATTGCGGGTTTAGGTAGTTAGGAGACACAGAAGACGCAATCAAAGAGGCTAGTAAAGTTAGTTACAACAAACTAATCATATTCGCAGACCAAAACCCGGTGGCAAATGCGGCGATGAATCCAGTTAATTATTAATTGAAGTACTGCGACTGATTTTTTCTGCTCAATCTTTGAAACGTTAATTTTTCCATAAGTTTGCTTGAAGCTTTTACGCGAACAGCGGCTAGAATCCCTGAGCACCCAGTCTAGATAGATAGAGTCCTCTTTTTTTTTTCCCCGGCCAGAAATTACATTAGCACAATCTAGTTAAAGTTTAAATATCATCATGGTGCGCTGATAATTCGTAACGTGAACGTGAAGAGGCGTATTTAGTGAGCTCGTGAGCATTAGAATTAAAAATATTGATTAAACTGGAGTTACTTGATATATTATTTAAATATTCACTCCTGAATACTAATTCAACATGGATCAAATTATATAATGCATGATGCTCGAAGTAGCTATAAAATAATGCGGCGTATTCCTGAGCTAATTGAAAGCAAAACTGTGAAAGCATCTGAATTAGTAGCAGCATGTAGAGATTAGTGGTCAGATGTTTAATCTAATAAACCATCTTAGGATGGCATCAGATAGGGGGGAAATGTCGCAATCCAAGTTTTTGTAGTGTTTATAATTATAAGGTGAAGGAAATTTGGCTTTTGGCCTTTTGGGAGTCGCATCTGTTATGTTATGATTTATAAAGAAGTCCGTAATTTGCAGACATCCCACAAATTCACAAAATAATTTGCGCTGATCAATAGTCAGTCGCGCTCATAACACTTCACGTGCGGAAAAAACAGAATTTTTTTGTTTCCGGGAATAAAAAAGCACGCAATGAGTGAATGAACATTTTCTTTTAATAGTGCAACAAATGAACTTGATCTGAAGTAACTATTGACTGCTAGCTAGCAGAAGAGGGGTGCACACAACTTAGCTACACACACCAGCCTCGTCCATCTCCATTCGTTCATTGCTTTTTTGTTTGTTTTAGGGAAAATGACAATTACAGACCCTATAAGATGATTAATTACAATTATAGATCTTCAATTATTGAAATACCATTTAAGAACCATGGTCCTGCAATTAAAAATAATTTGATTGGACTGAAATGTCCCTAAGATCAATCGAATAAAACAACCCAACCTGATTTGGGAGTTGAAGCTTTATTCCTTTTTTTTTTTTTTCCCATCTCGTTGCCATCTTCTTCCTTCCTTGCCTCTCAATTGCTGTCGAAGGTGACTCACATACTAGGCTCTATAACTCCACTTTTTAATTTGTTTTCAATTTCTCTTCGCAATTTCGCCACTTGTTCCTTCATTTCTTGTGCCGTTTTTTATTTGTGATGTTCCACTTTTTTCAATAGTTGTTCGCATTTAGCCTGCATCATCTGCATAAATTATGGATTAAAAATTAGTGGTTTTTTTTTTTTTTACTTTCTAGATCTTGCTGCCCCTACTTGCATTTTATTACATGAATAGTTAAATTTGATTGTGACGCTTTCTTTTATAGTTTGTTAAACTAAATTCAATAGTTATATTATGTATTATTCATAGTGATGGTCTATATGAATACTTATGTTAGATGCATTTTTCGTGCTTATATTATGGATTTTCAATAGTGATGTTTTGTATTTTTAGTGTATATATATTTTTCAGTACTTGGATCATATATAGATTATTATTACGTAGTGGCCTTTTAGTTGATTCAATAAAGTTGATTCAGAAGTTTTGACGTTCATTTCAAAAGCCAAACAAAGAGAAAGTAGTAAAAAAGTGAAGGCACAAAATTTAGGCTTTTTGTTTTTTGACATTTTCTTGCTTCTGTTTGTAAAGTGTTTTTGCTACGTTTAAAAGGATGATTAATGTCATTGATATTTACTAAGTTGTCAATCTCAAAAGCTGTGTACATATTCATTTTGTTTATGCACAAAATGATATAATTCTAATCTTGTTACCACTTTGTTTTTTAGTTGTAATGAAGTTAGAATATAAAGTATGTAACTAAATGTTACTTCAGGGTGTAAAATAATACACTACTCTTGAAAATTACGACTTACGTTAGGAGATTTTATTAGTAAATGTATTATTGCTTTTAAAAGAAAACTTTGTACTGTACAAAACTTAAAATATTATAATGAGAGGATTTCACAAAACCAAGCAAGTTTTCATGATTTCAAAAGTAATTCTACCATTATTTTCGTCCCATGCTAGGGGATTTTAATAGTAATACATTTTTTTATAATTAAAAAACTATGTTCTAATTAAACTTAGGTTATGTTTGTTTACTAAAATAAAATAAAATAGAATAGATTAAAAAATAAAGATAAAAATGAACTAAATCATTCTTTTTCCCATATTGAGCATAATAAAACTCATTAATATATATTAAAAATGTAGGAATCATCACACCCTTCAAAAATTATATAAATTATAATTCCTAACCTCGTAAATTAAATTATCTCACCCCTTTATGAATATACTCATATATCCTTTTTGATTACCGTATTTTTACAATTATTTTTTAATCTAATCCATTCCATTTTATTTTAGTAAGCAAACGTAATCTTAGAGTTAAGCAATCTAAAATGACCCTTTTTCTAAATGGGTTTTCAAAATTTCACAAACGATCCTGTCACGATTTCCAACCAATGTTAGGAGATTTCAAAAGCCATATACTTAATAATTTACACAACTTTTAATATTAAACACTTTGTAAATATCAATTACATTAGCCATATTTCCGAATGTAACAAAAACACTTAAGAAAAAACTAGAAAATTTCACCAAACAAAGAAAAGCCTATAATGTTTCTAGCGAAAAAAAGAATCCTATAATATGTGCTTAAACATCGCTATTAAAAGCCCGTAACATAAGGACTAAAAATACATCTAACATAAGTATTGAAATATCGAACATCACTATGAATAATACATAACACAACTATTGAATTTAGTTTTACAAACTATTAAAGAAAGCATAATCATCAAATTTAGCTATTCATGTAATAAAAATGCAAGTAGGGGCAACAAGATCTAGAAAGTAAATAAATCCACTAATTTTTAATCCACAATTTGTACAGATCATGTAGGCTAAATGTGAACAAAAATTAAAAAAAATAGAGTTGGTAATTTAAACTTGATAGGCCAACCCAAACCCATGCTGACAAAATTTAGGATCGAGCCCAAAAGAAATAATATTTTTTAAAATAAGCCCAATTGAGGTCAAGCTTAACTTGAATATCCAAATAAAAATAATTTTTTTTAAAATATATATATAATATAATAAATATTAATTAATTTTTTAAATTTTATATCATTTTATACTAAAATACCACATATTTGAGTGCATTACTATAATTTTTTTTCAAAAAAAAAGAGTAAAAATATTTATATTTTCATATTTTTATTATTTTTAATTAATAAAATATCTTAAAATAATATTTAAAATATATTTTAATTCTTATTTTTATATTTTAAGGCCCAATTATTTTTTTTAAAAAGTTTAGACTCCTATAAATCATTTGAGTATACAAAAAATATATTTTATATTTTTCATAAAATAAGATAGTAATTTTAAAGTAAAAATTGAATTAAAAATAAATTTAAAAATAAAATTTGAACATGTATGAATTCTTGACTTTATTACTAGATAAACATAATAAATAGAATAATATTTTTAAATAATTATTTAGCTTTCGCCTATGCTAGAGTTGGTCAAAAAATTAAAAATAAATTAAAGTAAATATCCCTTGTTTGGAGGGGTTAAACAATATAAAAATTTCAAAAATAATTATAAAAAATAATATTTTACTCATAATTAAATAATTTTATTTTATATAATATAATGATGACTATTTTTCTCATATTTTTAAAAATTAAAGTACAGTTTACTCAAAAGTTATTAAAAATTTTAAACTAATCAAGATAATAATTTTAAGTTAGC